GAGAATAGATAGCTATATTCTATATCATTTCAGGGCTTAAGACTATGCCACAATGACAATTTCTATGTAGAACATCTGATAACAGTAGGCTAAAAAGAGAACCCAGGAGGAAATGTATAAGCAGTCCTTTAGTTTTCTTTAGAACAGCAATCAAAAACAAATCCATAGAATCATCTTAATAGTTTAAAATGAACAACAATATTCTTTTGTCTGGTTTGTGGTCTTAACATTAATTTCTTTCTGCCTGATTTACCAGCCTTTTCCACCTAAACCAACAGGCAAATCAGATACAGTGTATTCAGCAGCTTACGGTTGAATCTGAAGATTATTATTATCTACTTGCCAAATAAGCACGAGTCACATAAAGCAACACAAATATTTGAACTCTCCTAAGTGATATAGTTTTTGAAAAACCAAATTAACAATAAAGCCCACATAGTTTGTCCACTTTATATATTTATGGCCAAAATATACTGCAGGTTTCTGGTTTCTCTTGCTCTTTTATTTTCTTAGAGTAACTTGCTCAAGATGGGCAGAAAGTAAATGTTGAATCTGGGTGATGAGTCCACAAGGGTTCATTACATGAGTCTGTTTATTTTAACACAGTGCTTTCCTGTTAATGAGGGAATGTAAAATGATTAAGATAAAAAAATCTCTTACTCTTTAAGCTCGCTGTAAATTGGCAGGACTGATGGATGGCAGACGAATGCAAATGCAATAGTCGGTAGAGCATACACAGTCTAGTTGAAAGAAAAAAGATAATATTAAGAAAATGTGTTTTTACCATAATATTTTATAGCTCCAGTATTTCTAAACTGTCTTTTTATCTGACAGCTCTTTAGAATCCCTGGATTACTTGGTTATTAGGAGAGCTTTGATATCTAAAATAGAAGCAGCTTTTCTAAGAGAGCTTATCTAGCTTGAGACATTAGGCATTTGGCACACAGGGATTTTAGATTCAGCTCACCTACAGCATATTTTAGATACTCCAGGCATAGCGTAACCCAGATTTATATGATGCTAGCCGGTTGCACAGCACTTTTCCTACATTATCTCTTGAGTCCCTACAACAACCCTGAGCAGTGGACACACCACTGCTGTTCTCCTGACTCCCTCCAACAGGTTAGGTGACAGGTCCAGGACTCCCACCTCTAGTTTACTGCTCTTTGCTCTTGATAGGGTCTATCAGATCAGACTGAAAAGATGGCATCTAAAAAGAAAATTACTTCCATATTCACTACTTTGGCTATATCCTTAGAGTTGAGAGAGAGAGAGAGAGAGAGAGAGAGAGATTGGAGAGAGATTGATTTAGTTTTCTTAGATAAGACTTTCAAACTCAATATAACTTCTTGTGCAAAAAGAACCTGGCAGAGAAGGAAGGAAAAGTAACATTTCTCAGGCTCTAATTCTGCCCGAGCATTGTATCAGGCACATTCTAAAAACGACCATGTAAGATACAGAATAGAACATTGATTGTCACACATGGAGTTGGGTAACTTGCCTGAGGATTCTAATCTAAGCCTAACTGGTTCCATAGTCCCCTGTTACCCATACTATTAACAATATCTCAATAGTATGAAAGTTTCTTAAGTGCCAGTCTGTGGTGGTGTCTATACTTTAACTGTGCAAGCTGGGGGAGCTTGAACTATTCCTTTCTGTCACCACCAGATAGGAAGCAGTGGGCTTCCTATGGATGTTATTAATCTTTTTAAAGATGTATAAGGAAGAGAAGAGCTGAGACAATTATCGAGAAAGATTTTCACAGAAAATGCATAAGGCTGTCCTACATTTAAACTGGGTAAGAGGGAACAGGAAATATAACATTTGCATATTTCTCAAAGGTCTCTAAATGGATTGTAGAATGTGGAAGTGAATATATTCAAAACAGTTTAATTGATACAAGTATGAGAAATACAATGCTCTTAATAAAAATGCTCCTGTTTATAGTATTGAAAGGATAAGGAAACTTACCTTTGAGTTGAAGGTAACATATTTTGGCGTACACATGTCGGCATTTGTTAAATTAGCAGGTATTGTTGCATTTAGCCCTGGAACAATGCAGGGAATTTGAAACTTCTTGTAGATAACCTGATATTAAAAAATATAGGAAACACAATATATAGACTTTATCAAATAAAGCCAAATAATGAATAATAGTTACATGATATTGTAACAATTGGTATGGCAAATCCAAACCAACTATTTCAACCCGCACTTACCACTATTAGGAAAAACACCATACAGCTCAAGGAAAATCCACTAGTGTAGCCAAGATACCCTAAAAAAAAAGTTTTAAAAACATATTATTTAAAAAATATTATCATTTCATCCACCACCTGATTTCTTTCAATGCATTTTTTAAGCAATAGTTTGAGGCTCCAATAATATACATACATGCCAATGTGAATACAAGGTTTATTATTTGATAGTGCCACTTTATTTGGCAAAAATGGTGACTTTAAACAAAAACATTATATTACGTGTTGATTTCAGTTCTCCCTGGCACACTAGAGGACACAGAGTCCCAGAATTCAGGGAAAAAGAGCCTCCCAACTTTAGCCATAGGTCTCTGTCGCTGTACTCGGATGGAAACCAATGGCCAAATCCGCTCCTCTTTATTATGCACTTATCGTGCATAATGAATATCAGCCACAATATTTCTCTTCTTAGATGAAGGGCATGCACAGAGGAGATGGAGTGATTTCTAGGGAAAAATTGAGCATCTGCAGGTCTTTACCTTGCTCCCCTTAGAATGCCTGGGAGATCTCCAACCACCGTAACCTCCAGAAAGGCAGAGTTAAGTGGCCTCTGGGGGGCTGCACTATTCTCATCCCTGGGGGAGAAGAGCCCTTCTCTACTTAAACTGAAAAAAGCTACGTGTACATACATAGAAAAGCCTAAACACAGAGCCAGAAACCAGAAAATTAAGTAGTTTTTAAAAATCGACTTATAGAACATACAGAACAGCTTACAGAACAGCTACAGAGGCTTGATGTTTTTCACACAAAACAACAAAAAGCTATGGTTAGCAACGCTTTGGAGAAGAACTTTACATGCCTGCCTTGAATTAGCCTAGAATTAATGGAAATGCATGTTAGAGGCTTTGGATTGGATGGCAGTGTGGCCACATTATTCAATGTATGAAATTTCCATAACATCAAGTACACTTATCTCCAAATATACACATACAAAATACACACAAATATACACATACACATACACACATACAAAAAAGTCAAAACCAAATGGATGTGGCTTAGTGACTGTTCACCACTTTTGACTTTTCACTTCTTTCTCCCCCTTTCAGTAAGGCAAATAGTTGAGACTGGATAGACTTTGATAATTTAAGAGTGATTGTCTAAATAATTAAGAGTGATTGTCTAAGAGTACTTGTCTAAATAATCAGGATATTTAAAACCTCGTATGAGGAGAATTCCATTTTCTGGACCTTTCGCAAAAAGCCTATAAGTTGCGCCATTGGAAATAGCACTATTGCTGGTCCCAGAGCCTCCCTTCTCCCCTCTACAGCTTCATAGAGACGTCACATACTGACCAATGTTTTTATCCCATATTAAAGTTGAGACTGATTAATACTTGTAATTTATCATTCACTTAATCTTTACAAGTGAACAAGCGAAGTTGTTCACTTTCTTAGGTTTCTGACTCATGTGGGCACTGTAAAGACTATGATAAAAGCAAGATCTTTCCTTACCTAAATTCTTCAGGAGACACAGAGGGAGAATTATGCCAAAGGTAACGATCACCACTAGGACACGTCCATCCACATACCAGGCTCTGAAAGACATTGAAGTAGCTAGGTCATATTTTCTTAGAAAGAAACTTTTTTTTTCTTAAGTGTAAAATTTCACAAACTATTTTAATTATTTTTATTATTATTATTTATTTTTAACATTAATTTCTTTTATCATTATTCAAGTTTTATCCAAACACTTTAACCCAACCGCTACTCATTTACTATTGTCTTTCTCCCATGTGATGGCAGGAGGGATATTGCTTTCTTTTCCTCCCCCATTGGCTAAAATGCGGCATTCCTCTGAATTATTGATGTGGTTCCAAAGCTGAATGCACACATGGCATTCTGTCAGATTACAACTTGTCTTATCAATTATTTAAAGAGAAAGTTCCTTTTTGTTTTGCTTGGCTAATATCAAAAAACAGGTCACCACAGGTTGTTATTGCTTTCTCCCTAATCTCTTGCATTTGACCTTGAATCCTGATTATAGAACACTGGGCATGGTGGTTGCTACGATTCTCCTTTGAAAGAAAACAGAGAAACTAAGGCTGACAAGAACTGTTCAACAAGAAAGAGTCAAAACATAACGGATGTGCCAAATGTAGCTGCAACATTTTCCAGGGTTAACTACATATTGAATGAGGTTGACTCATGTAAATTTTATTCCCAAAACGCTATGCCCCTTCCTTAAGAAAGAGGTTAGGGTCTTTTTTTTTTTTTTTTTTTTTAGCTGAGCCATCCTGCTACCTGTTGGCAGCTCAGCGGCTGCTCAGCTCGGGCTGGACTCGAACCACTGTTGCTCAGAGCTCAAACTCTTGAGCGAGCTCTTAACCAACTGAGCCACTCGGCCGGCCCAAAAGAGGTTAGGGTCTTAATTTTTTCTGCATCTTCCACTTCAGTGTTAAAAATACTCCATATCTGTTCTATTTCACAGAAACTAAATATAGATTTCAGGCTTTTGGGAAAATGCAGCATCTACTGTTTGCAGCATGACAGATGAATCGACCTTTCAAATGCTCAGATTCAAGTGGTTCTTTCATTTATTTAATCCCAGGGAAGCAACAAACAAAGAAAAAAGCAACCTAGGAAAAAACTTTGTTTCTGCAATTTTTATAAAACACAATTTTCGGTTAGCCCCCATTTAAATTAAAACCATTGTAGTCATCTTACAAAAAAAAAAAGTTCTATCACTTACGAAAATGCCTCATCCTTTCCCATCAGAAACTTTATGGCAGAGGGTAGTTCGTTTTTTACTATGAAGAGGTAGCTCAGCATTGCTAGAGGAAAACGAGAACATTTTTAGAAAGAAGATACTCCGGCTCATGTTGCAAGCTATATAAAAGGTTACCAGCTCGTTCTTAGACTAACCTTCAATAAGACACAGACAGCTTTAGAAACTCTTGCAGTATCCTTGGTTTTAAATAAGTGACTGCTGTCGGCTTTACTTTCCATGTGCCATTTTAGCAACGAGAATGATAACTTCTTGAATTACGAAATTCATGTGACCACCCAGCCACCGGAATTAGAAAAGATAATAATGTTTACCTACTTTAAAGTTATATATAGAAAAACATGTTTTGTTGTGTTTACCTCCAGTGTTCTGTAGAGAGGTGGCTCCAAAGATTACAAGCTTCCCCGTGGTGCCAAAGATTTGTTCTCCCAGCTTTTCATAAACCATGCAGCCTATTTAAAAAATCATATTTGAAAACACAAGAAATGGCAGGGCTCTAAAAGTTAAAAATAGCCAAGATTTCATCACGCTATTGACTATTCCCTAAGTTATTTCATGTCTTTCTCAAAATCGCACAAATAGCCTTTTGGCTTTGCAAGGGTTAAGGCACTCTCATTATAAAACAACCTCTGACATTTGAAAATGTCAGACATTACCACCATTTCTCCTTTTTCAGGTTGGCTACAAAAGCATTACTTAATTAAACTATTAGGTCATCAGACTTATTTTTCACTGCCTCAAATAGTCTTTCTACTTTACTGAGGGGAAATTCCCACTCTGATCTTATTCTCATGTCTGGTATCGTAAAAATGAAGATTTGACTTAAAAGTAAAAATCCTCATGGTTGGGACAAAAGGTGCCTTTTGAATTAATTACCTGAACTGATTATGCTAACAAAGAATTATCTTAATAATATTCCATCAATGCCTCATGTGTCCTAAGTAGTAGTAATAAGAAGCTTTAGCAATGTGTAATAGTCACGACATCAGAATTCTAAAATTTAGTTCAAAGATATGCAAATTGGTAGTTAGAAAATAGTCACAGCGGATATAAAGTACAGCAAAGGGGATATAGTCAATAACATTGTAATAATTATGTATAGTGCCAAGTGGGTACTAGACTAATCAGGGAATCACTTCATAAATTATATAAATGTCTAACCACTATGCCGTACACCTGAAACTAATATAAAATAATATTAAATGTCAACCATAGTTGAAAAAATTTTTAAAACGATAAACAACTCACAAAGGAGAGCAGTAGATAAGTCTGTCTGAAGAATAATTTGGCTATAGCAAAATTCCAAAGTGTTCACTAGCTCATCTCAATAAATCCTAAGATTCTAAACCATTCATTTTAAAAAAGTGTTTATATTTCTTATGACAGTTCAGCTCACATTTTCAAAAGGTTCACAGAAAGCAATATGGGTCAGGCTAAATTAAACTTTTGTTTAATCTCTCATAAGACTGGTGTTTAAACTAGAAAATGTTTAGATCCTCAATTTATCACAAAATGTTCCAGTTAAATGGAGTTATCTATATACAGTAATAGCTGGCCAATGTGGTTTCAGCTAATGTAAAAGTCAAAGTATTACAAACAAAATCCAGTATCCCAGGAATAGAAGATAAACACTTCAGGTATTACACTGCCCAGAGAACTTGGAATCTTTTCATAGCACACCCACTCCCACGTTGCTTGCTTGCTCGGGAGTAACATCTTTCTCCTTGGAATATGCACAAAAGAATGAGAGCTCTGTTTACTTTTAAAACTTGGATACTTATAACATAATATAAACACATGGGATCCTGGATCTGGATTTATAAAAACCCTAGGAAAAACCAAAGCCTTAAAAATGAAGTCATCTTAAACTAGAAAAGCAGGTATAATCAAGGGTTCACTTTAAACAGCAACACTATTTGCTCATTGTTCACGGCAATTTCATTTATGTGTTGCTGCATCTATATCTCTAGGTAAATACTACAACAGGTCTTCCAGTGACTGTAAGTCAAAGTACTCTTTTTCTTTAATAATCAAGTTGCTGAACACAGAGAGTATCCATTGTTCACAATATCACCATCAGAATCATTCACCCTGGCTTTAACAAAATTAGAGGTAGTCTGAGCTTACCTGTTTCCTTTGAACAGATCAACAGAAGGTTTATTGAATATATAGACAGCAGTGTCACTGAAGACAGAAGTATCCTAAAGCAAAGAAAATAAGTCTTGTAATACCTATAAAAGAACATACTCGGACCTTACACTTTAGAAGGGCAGGGGGTTATTTATATGGTTAACACTATTTGTTGATGGCATCCAAATTTTAGAACCTATTAATCATACCCCCTTTAAAATCCTCAATAAAAATGGTCTAACAAATAAAGAACTCATTAGAATATGAGTAACTAACACTTCAAATCCTTTACCTAAAGCAAAGGCTGTATAGCTCTCTCTGGGATCCTTTCAGATGGGATGACTTTAAAACAACATTATGAAACAAAGCTTTTGCAGACTATGGTGCCCTTTCTGTTACATCTGAGTAAGAAAGTGTGAGAAAGGGGTGTAGGAAGTGGGGAGGCTGAAGGAAATGCTTTCAGAGACTCTTAGGGTAAGTGACCATGTGACTTTGGGCAACTGGCTCAATTTCTCCCATCCCCAGATTCCTCACTTATAATATAAAGACATAAGCCAAATGACGTCTAAAGTTCTTTTCATCTAACTACTCTATGGCTGTTTTTGAACCTGCACATTGGACCACTGAGATAATTCACTTTTTTTTTTTGCACCTGGTTCCTCTTGAAAGAATAAGCACCTCTTTTAACTGATGGAAAATTTTTGATAATCAAGTACAAGGAAAATACTTTTTTGGATGACAAACTCATGTTTTTGTTTTAGTACATCTGGCTCATTATCCAACCCTCCTCAAGGGAAAGCACAGTTAAAATGATGTGAGTGATTACACAGATGATTTCTGAATTATTTGTTTAAAGAAGATGTAATAATTGAAAATAAAGCCTATGTATTGAAAAGAAAAAAAAATCCCAGTCCCCCAGATGAAACCAGTCACTTCCTGGTGTAGGGAAATATATCTTTAGAACAATACATTACTGCAATTCTTTCTGGGTTTGAGTAATTAAGGCAATTATTTTTCTAGCAAGTGCTCTTGAGAGGTACTTGGCACATCATGCAATTCTCTCTGTGTGGGCTGTGTCTTCCCAACCCCCTTCCCCACCCCGCACACCTGTTGAACCACTGCCTGTGGGCCCAGCTTAGATGTCACCTCTGGTGCCTTCCCTTGCCCCAGGCAGGAGGATTGCTCCTTAGCTCTCTCATGTCTTACAGCATTGTTTCTCTGTGCAACGCAGCCAAGAGTAGATCAACGAGGAATACAGAATGGCCAACTGCAGAGCAGATAGGCTGCCAGAGACTGGCAAGAAAACATAAGAGGGACAGAGCTCAGCAGCGGTAAAACCAACACGGGGAGAAAGAATAGAAAACCTAGCACTTTGGGTGCAGGTTAATAAAGAGACCAGCTGATAAAGGGGAATTTAGGTAAAGATATGACTATAAGGAAGTGTATTCAGGTATATATCGACTTAGCTAAGATCCTTGAGTCAGAGGGTGATTAAGAGGGTAAGTCCCTTATTATCTATTCTGTTGGAGGGGTACAAGAAAGTGACAGCAAGCATTTATTAAGCAACCCAGTAGTTTTAAGGTATGTAATGGAACATGATTTGATATGCTCTGCCAGAGAATACGATATAGGGTACAATTGTGGTATTATATTTCTTTCATCTTATAAACAATATTTATGTGGAAGAAATAAGCTTTGAGTTTTACTCAGAGTTCACTCACATTTTTGAAGGCACAGAACACTAACCGGTAACTTCTATGGTACATGTGCATGTGACAGGCCATAGAGGATTTCTGTGTGGCACAGAATAGCATGGGCTTCCCAGCTGGGGAAAGGGTGAATGCAATTTTAGGATTAGCCATGTGCCATTTTAGAGTGACCATGTGCCCTGTTGACTGATCTGGGGAAGAGAGGGACTGATCTGGGGAAGAGAGGGGGTATTACCACTTGGCCCCATGCTAATGAGTAAAGAGCATGACTTTGTAGGAGCTATGTGTGTAGCAGAAGGAATAATTACTAACGTCTACATAATGATTAACCAAAGGCTCTAAGCCTGGGAGAACTGGGTACTTATTAGCAAAATAAATATTCTAAGGAAACTTCTGTTCCCTCAGCTAGTAGCTTGTGGGACCACATGGTTGGAGCACATGATTGCCTCTTAATGCATGCTAGTAGGCTCAGTCTCTGTAGCTGATGCTCAGGTGGCCTGTGGCCCTTGACAAGAGGTAAAGGATTTCTTCATAAACTGTGATCATCTCTTTTTCTTTTTTAAGTGGGAGAAACGTGTTGGTCAGGGCAGATTTTAGCAGGGAATTCCCCTGTCCTCTTTTCCACACTTAGCAGCAGAATGAGGTCCTCCCACAGTAATGAAAACAACCCCCTTAGTCCTGCGTTTAAGATATAAGACATTGCACCCCCGATGAAGAACCTGTAGTGAGAGTTCGATAGCCTTGCCTTTAACCACCCAACCTCTGAAAACTCTCCTCTCCATCTCTCCCAAAATATAGATCTTCCCTCCAAAGACTGAAAACTGATAAAAACAAAACTCAGTTTCTATCACTAAGAGGCCACGTCTGTATGTAAAATTCTAAGACTGCTTTAGGCTATAACCGATTCTAGCATTAATGGGATTGAAATTCAGAAAAGTATACCGCTTTGTTTAGGTTCTTAGAGAGAAGCTATAAATTGTCTCATTGGCCATAATAGACCCTAGAATAGTTTAAGGGGATCCAGTCAGAGACATCAGAGACAGAAAATGTGACATCTGAAAGGAAGTAAACTCAGAGACACAACAGAAGAGTGGTTACCAGAGGGGGAAGGGGAGGGGAGGATGAAGAGGGTAAAGGGGGTCAAAATGTGGTGACTAGAGTTTGGGTGGTGAGTATACAATGCAATATACAGATGATATAGATTTGTACAGTTAAACCTTATGGTATTAACCCATATAAGACCAATAAATTTAATTTAAAAATAGCAGCAAGTTAATATGATCTGCTAAGAATTTAAAAGTTATCAACTTTAGTATTTTTTTTTAATTTAAATACTTTCCTAGTATTCCCTGAGTGGTAATTTTTTTCCCGCTTGGGGGAGGAGTTTTTTTTTTTTCCAAAAGAAATTCAATACTAACAGCAGCAACAAAAAACAGCAGGAGGAATGACTCAAGAGACTACAATGACTTCTTTGAACATTTCTTCTATTTTGAGCATGATTGTGCCCGGATTTGTCCAATTAGATATTTGTACATATAATTGTGGTTTCCTGAGAGTGAAACATAAGCTGGTATTCTTGTTCTATAGAAGAGAAACACAAGTGATTCATTTTTTCATTTCACCTGGATATCTTATAAGCTTTCACACTGCTAACCATTGACCAAAAGGTTTTTTTTTTCTTTTAATTTTTTATTAAATTTATTGGGGTGACATTGCTTAATAAAATTATATAGATTTCAAGTGTACATTTCTATAATACATCATCTATCTATTGCATTGTGTTTAGCACCCAGAGTCAGTTCTCCTTCTGTCACCATATATTTGACTCCCTTTACCCTCATCTACCACCCCTTTCCCCCCTTACCCTCTGATAGCCACTAAACTGTTCTCTGTGTTTGTGAGTTTTTGTTTGTCATGTTTGTTTGTTGCTTCAGTTTTATATCCCACATATGAGTGAAGTCATAATTGTTCTCGACTTTTTCTGTCTGACTTATTTCACTTAGCGTGATAATCTCAAGGTCCATCCATATTTTCACAAGTGGCAATATGTCATCTTTTCTCGTGGCTGAGTAATATCCCATTGTATATATGTACCATATCTTTATCCAATCATCTATCAAAGAACACTTTGGATGTTTCCATGTCTTGGTCATCATAAATAAAGCTGCAATGAACATCGGAGTACATATATCTTTACGGATGAATGTTTTCAGATTTTTTGGGTAGATATCCAGATGAGGGATTGCTGAGTCGTATAGTAATTCCATTCTTAATTTCTTGAGGAACGTCCATATTCTGTTCCATAGCAGCTGCACAAAAGGACATTCCCACCAGCAGTGTACAAGAGTTCCTTTTCCCCACACCAACACTTGTTATTACTTGTCCTGTTGATGATAACCATTCTAACAGGTGTGAGGTGGTATCTTATTGTGGTTTTGATTTGTATTTCCCTAATTGCTAGTGCAGTTGAGCATCTTTTCATGTATCTGTTGACCGATTGTTTATATTCTTGGGAGAAGTGTCTGTTCAAGTCTTCTGCCCATTTTTTAATTGGATTGTTTGTTTTTTTGTTGTTGAGTTGTACGAGTTCTTTATATATTTTGGATACTAGCCCCTTATCAGAGGTGTTGTTTGCAAATATCTTCTCCCATTTAGTTGGTTGCGTCTTTGTTTTGATGATGATTTCTTTTGTTGGGCAGAAGCTTTTTAGTTTGATATAATCCCACTCATTTGCTTTTATTTCCCTTGACTTTGAGGTCAAATTCATAAAATCCTCTCTGAACCCAAGGCCCATAAGTTTAGTACATATGCTTTCTTCTATTGTTTCAGGTCTGATGTTCAGGTTTTTTATCCATCTTGAGTTAATTTTGGTATATGCTAACAGATAACAGTCTAGCTTCATTCTTTTGCATGTAGCTTTCCAATTTTCCCAGCACCATTTATTGAAGAGGATTTCTTTTCTCCATTGTATGTTTTTGGCTCCTTTGTTAAAAATTATCTGCCCATATACTGGGGGTGCCAAAAAAAAGTATACACATAACTTGTATTCATCTTTTGTCATCAGTTTATATTGAGTATTATAATTTTAATACAGTTTTTCCTTTCTTATAATGTGTAGACTTTTTTTTGGCACCCTTGTGGCAAATATATGTAGGTTTATTTCTGATTTCTCAATTCTGTTCCATTGGCCTGTGTGTCTGTTTTTCTGCCAGTACCATGCTGTTTTGATTATTGTCACTTTGTAGTATAAATTGAAGTCAGGGAGTATGATACCTCCAGCCTTGTTCTTTTTCTTAGGATTGCTTTGGTTATTCGGGATCTTTTGTGATTCTGTACAAATCTGATGATTTTTTTTTGTTCTA